CCCTCCTCCCACCTCCTCACTGACGACTGGCTCCCGACTGGCAGCGTGAGGAGGAGCAGCAGCGGAGTAGCATCCAGGGAGCGTCAGGTCCTCCTCCAGCCCGAGGGGAGGCGTCCGGAGCACGGAGGAGACGGCAGCGATCTGTGGAACCTGGAGAGAGCCGTGGAGGAGCTGGAGCTGAAGGTGCTCCGGCTGGAGGAGAAACTCAGCAACACTTCTGCAGAGAGAGAGGCGGCGGCCGGCGGCGTGGAGGCCAAACTGCAGGCGGAGGTGAAGTGGCTGAAGAGAGGGCTGGAGGAACATCTGAGGGTGTTCAAGAACGTCTTCAGTAATGCTGAAGTGCTGGCGGGATCTGACGCCACGCTGGAGCTCGATAAACTGTGGCAGCTGGTGAAGGACAAAGACGGGAAGAAAGAGAAGAAGAAGCGAGGAGGCGGAAACCATCGAAGCAGGAGGGAGTCATCAGGTGAGGTCGACTAAATAGCTGTTTCCAGCTGAGCAGCTGCAGCAAGTCTCTCAGTCTGAGTAGTCCTTGCCGAGGTCCAGGTGTTTTTTCTGGTTCCAGTCTCAATCAACAGACTCCTGACCCTGCTTTTCTCTCCAGGTGTTGCTCCTGTCCCGTCCAGCCTATCAGAGGCCGGATCCCCCCTGAGCGTCTCGACCGGCGTCATCGTGTTAGAAGCATCTCTGAACCGGGGTCAGTTTTTCTCCGACGCCGGCACCTTCACGGCTCCCGTGACCGGGATCTACCTGTTCGTCCTCACCTTGGACCTGAGGCCGGGCCCCGCCCACGTGGTCCTGAGGAGGGGGTCTGGCGGGGGTCTGGCGTCTGTACACCGACAGGAGGCGGTGGAGCCGGGACCGGTCACCGGCGTGGGCCTCCTGCAGCTGAGCGAGGGGGAGGAGGTGCGGCTGGAACTGAAGGGAGGTGCGTGGGCGGAGTCAGAGGACAATGTGTTCACCGTGCTGCTGCTCCACCGGACCACCTGAGGGCGCTGTGGACCAATCAGCTGACAGCTGGAGGAAAGACGCTGATCAGAGACTCTGGGAGGGGCGGAGTCAGAATTTGTTTTAAAAATGAGAATTTAACATTCGCTGGATTCCAGCCGGTGGAGGCGTTAATCCAAAGCCCCTTACAGTATCACCGAGGTTTACTTGTGTTGCGTCCGGAGGGATTCAAACCCTCAAACCACCAGTCAGTTCTGATAAATCTGGGAACTGCAGGTCAGAGTCTGAGCTCCACAAACGTCTCAGGCTGGACCTCCAACTCGACAACAAGAAGAGGTCAAAAACACGCAAACCGAGATGAAACTGACCTTCAAGTGAAGACCCAAATTAAAGCAGGAGTTTCAGTGTCTTTGTGTTCAAACACAGCGCTGGAGCGAGGAAGTTAGCAGCCTAGCTTAGCATAAAGACTAGAAGCAGGTGGAAACAGCTAGCCTGGTGCAAACTACTAAAACACACCGACAAACCGTTGTTCGAACTGTAAGCTAACGCAGCAGTTTGTGGTTTTAGTGGGAGTTACTTTGATGCCCTGAACATCAAGCAGCATTTCCGTCATTGTTGGTTTGGTTTTCAGTCACTGCACCAACAAGAAAACACTTCCAGCGTGCAACTTCCCCTGAAACCACAAACTGAGGTTTAATCTGTACACTAACAGCAAAGCAGAGCAACACGTTAGTGATCTTGGTTGGTGGATGTTTTGCCACAGGGGGCAGAGCCAGGTTAGCGGTTTCCAGCCTTTATGCTAAGCTAGGCTAACCACGTCCTGACTCCTGCTCCAAAAACCCAAAGCAATGACGTTATTTAGTGAATCTCCAATCTGCTAACTTACAAAAAGAACCGTTACCACAATTAGTCACCAGTGCTCCTCAGTAAACCGCACAGACCGCTGCCCAGAGAAGTGGACCCACAATGCCTCGCTCTACTTGCAACACAACAAGCTTTCAGCCATCAAGAGTATTTGATTGATCCGGTTACTCAGCTCTGACAGGATGTGCCGCCGACCCTGCTGTGTCACTTTAACATTCTTTATCTTCAGAAAAAACCTGACCACAGACGTTTTCTGTGTGAGGAGGGGAAAAGGACAAAGTAGAAAGGTTCAAGTCTTTACGTCCTCTGTCTTTGAAGGGATTCTTTTTACTTTGCATACTGAAAATATTTTGTAAAGTCGCCTGTATCTGTAATGTTTGTAAAGTACCAGTATCGTTACGTAAACACACACAGAGCAGAATATATTTATCTAACAGCTGAGCCGCATGTTGGAGCAGAAGGTGAATGTGTTTATCTAAAGAGTCACCAGGCTGTAACTTAATAAAACAGTTTGTATGATGTTACAACGCTGCAAACACACACGAGATTTATTTCCTGCTTTCTCTCTTATTTTTTCAGGGGTTTATGACACATTAAAGGTCTCATTATTATTATTTTATTTTGGGCGTCTACTGTTTTAATGTTAATGTCTCCAGCAGCCAGCAGGGGGCGACTCCAGCGGCTGCAGAAAGAAACTGTTTCCACTTGTCAGCTGATTTATTCCCTCAGTAAACACTTTCCTGATGAGTTTCTGGTCTCAGTCGCTAGTTTCAAGTCTTCTTCAACACAGCATGATGTTCATTTAGTAAATTATGGTCCCATTTAGAGGAACAGAGACCAGGAAGCAGGGGAGGCTTTAGGGCGGGGCTACCTTGTGGTTGACAAGTCGCTACCATGGTGACCAGTCAATCAGGATAGAGGCGACTCGTATCCGCTGCTGACAAAGCTTATTAGGAGGCGGCTGTAAATTCTGGTAAGTACATTTTGTTTAGAAATTTAGCATCCCAGCATTTTGGATGAACCTCGCTAACCAAGCTAGCTAGCGTAAAAACCAAGATGGCGACGGCCGCAATGCCAAGCTCGAACTACAAGTCCATCCATACAGTAACACAGAGTTAATGTTTTTGGGAATGGGTTTCATTCACTTTCTGAAATCAAACATCCTATCAGATGGGGGACGCTGGTGTCGGTTTACGGTTCAGTGATGTGAAAAAGGTTTGAGAACCACCTCCTTCGCCGACACAGACAACCAGTGCGAGCCAATCAGAGGCAGAGTTGCCGAAAATCTGGTGGAGAAAAAAAATATTGCAGCTGGCACAGCGCTGGCAGCACGCCATCATCAAAACAACTTGTGCCGTTTTCGCCGTTTTAAATCAGCCGATTTGATGCTGGGAGTATTGGTGGGCGCCAACTTCATTATTGCACAATACCCGGGAGCTTTGCCGTCTCTCGCTTTGGAACACAGGGTCTTTTTCGCCATTTGGTGGTGAGCTACATAAACATCCAATGACGGGTGTCGAATGAAAGGCCTGTTCGGATCGATTGATGCGTTTTAAAGATAACTCCCAATAAAGGTCAACATTTAAAGAGTAAATATTGCCAAAATATGGACATTCGCCTGGTGTACTCTGAAAATAACTGTTGTATTTACAGTTACAATTGCGTTCCAGGTGTATTAGGATATTCAGTTGCATTATCATGTATCTTATGATGGTTTATTGCATTAAGATATAGCTTCTTTTTTTTTACCCGGCAAGGATGAAAATATCCTATTTTTTCCATCTCCATTTAGTCTGTAATAGTAAAATAAATATGTTAATTTACAATGGATTTACATTCCTTAGCTTCTTACCTTCAAAGGAGACCAGAATTATGCATCTAGGCCAAATGGTTGAGCAGATTCATTTTGGGTTTATTATTTTAGGCGTTTTTCCTGGAAAAGGGTGGCGGTGATTCTGTGTTGGACAGGAAACTTTGCCTTTTTGTCACTGTACTTATCGTCCATGTGTTAGGTTTTTTCTTTAAAGCCAGAGCAGTTTGATTCTCTGAGCACCTCGGGTGTCTTTTCCTAAGTCCTTATGAATCCACCTTCACATCTTTACCTCGACCTCGTGGCGTTTTTCCATCAAGGTAAAGGAAAAGTTGTTAGGAAAGGACACACGGCAAAGAATCTGAGCGCAGCTCTGGTGTAAGAAGTCAGTCTTGCAGTTACAACCAGACTTTTCAGATGAGGGCTGACTGGCGAGCTTTTCAGGATTACACCGGCACCACACGCAGGTACTCAGCACCACCTAGCGAACATTCACTGGTAGTAAATTTGTGAAGTTGTAGTCTTCCAGAATTTACATTTTCTTCATTTAGCTGATGCTTTTATCCAAAGTAACTTACAATTGCTGTGTATGTCAGAGGTCGCACGCCTCTGGAGCAACGAGGGGTTAAGTCTTGCTCAGGGACACGATGGTGGACGGGTCGCAGTGCCTCATCAACACCGCAGGCTCAACAGCTACTAAAATAAGAATCAAGACAAAGACACAATGAACTTTTCCTTTAAACATTTTAATCATCGTATCATCTCGGTTAAGTCTACAGTGTAGAAAAATAAGCATCAAAAATATACCCAAAAACAAAAAAACAAAATTAAATCTGGCGAAGCAAAAAGTCAAAAACACAAGTTCGACATGGTGAAAAAATAACTTCTCTTCACTTGAATCATCATCATCATCACTGTGAACTCAGGTCTGGTCTGAAAAACGTCAGAGATAAATTAAATTATTTTGAAAAGAAGACTTCCTGCCAGGTGAGAGGTTGAATTTTGGTTTGGAGCGACGAAATGATCGAATCCTGTTCAGCTCCTCCGAGCTTTAAGCGTAATCTGCAGAGCGACGGCAGGTGAAAGGACTCAGACTTCAGACCAGACTTGGGTTTGTTTGCTTTAGCTCACCTAGAGCACCAGGCGGGCGGGGTCAGCCCCGGGTTCTTGGCAGTATAGGAAAGATCAACTCTGCAGAAGTCACATTCCTTCATCATCTAAAGTACAAAAACGAGCTCCTACGTGTAAAGAAGCGTCTCCCTGAACAACGGGAGAGATGTCAAAAGGAAACCGGCAACGAGCACATGAAAGAAATCTATCGTCAACACTTCTGAAGTGCACTAAAGTAGAGTTACATGCAGTCGAGTCGCTGCACTAAAACAGATCTGCATATATATCATGATTACGATAGAAGTACACCGACGTCGAGCGAATCTCTCAAGGCTATGATACGTCATGCTAAATATTAGCTGCAACTCTGTCAAAATAAAAGCTTTGTTAATAATCTAAATGCGCTCTGAGAAGACAGAAATCAGCCTCGTGTACAATATAAGAAGGCTCCACATCCCAAACAAGGCGGCTAACTGCCTTTAGAAAATTAGATCAGGTCTATAGGAGAGAGTATATTCATGTTAGGCAGGTAGAATAGATTCATCTACGCACAACTCCTAGCCTACAAAAATAAATAGAGTAATAAGTAGAGTAGATTTATATTCAAACGAGAGACCAACTCCTTCAAAAGCTCCTCTTCTCCTTCCTGTCGTGTCTCCGCTGTCCTTCATTTCCTGTTGAGGTTTGCGCAGCTGCTGTCTGTTCACTAACACTCTGCTCCCGGCCGCCTATTCTCCTTTTCCCACCTGCTGTCAGATTCAACCCTCCGAGGCTGAAGAGACTCGTCGATCATCTGCGTCGATCGTTCTTGTTTTGTTTGTGTTTTATTTTTTACAGATAAACCGCGCAAAAGCTCTCCTGCTTCCAGCTTCACTGATGTGAAGCAGTGGATTTGTGTTTGTGTTTAGACTGTTGGTCAGATGAAATCTGTTTGACCCCTAATGAAACGTTCAGCACTTTGTTAGTGACGCAGCGATCCGGGGCTTTGATCGCAGAGCGAGGGCGAGCCCTGATCCGATTCTTCGGTCAAATGCACGCAAACATCGAGCTTGACTTGAACATTTCTTCTTTGCTTTGTAAAACAAAAAGTGTTCCGGTCTACAGGCAGTACCTGCAAAACTGAATTCAAAGATCGGCTAGTCCAGCAGCTGTTTGAGTCTGTGCATCTTTAGAAATGATCACGAAGCAACTTCATTATAAAAACACTGAAACATGCTTTCAAAATAAAAGCTGGCACATTTAAAATAGAAACAGGGTGTTGTGTGTAGATTTTAAACTCTAAACAAACAAAAAAAAAGTAGAGCTGATCGTTTTATCTTTGAGGAAGCGGTTCGAGCGTCTTCTGTCGGCGCTGACCCGGTAAGACGCACATCGAGACCGCAGACTCTTTTCATGAATTATCAAATTAATCGTTTGGTTTGAAGAATGTCAGAAAATGAGGATCACGACGTCCTCAAACACGAGAGGCGACCGACAGTCCAAAGCCCAAACGCACTCCGTTCATCATCACGTAAGAAACTGAACCTGGAAGATCAGCCGAGTTAAATACTGAGCCGTAAATAAACATGTTGTTTATGTTGATCTGACACCCGGTGGATAAAGTGAGTAATAAGAGCTCCCGACTAATTTATTGATTACCGGTCTCAGTTTTCTGAACAGACAGCAGGTTAGCAGGTCGCCGTCCCGCCCCGGGTCAGAATCACCTCTGCATCAGTGCAGGTGCGTCTGTGTGGCTGCGGCTTGTCGTGTCTCCCGCCTGATGATCGGAGCCAATCAGAGAGTTTTATCCACCAACGTGTTGGCACATTTTAAATACAGAGACGTCACGTTCCGTCTGTCTGGATCCTCGCCGTGGAGCTCGTGGCGACGGATACGAGACTTGTGGAACAGAAGAAAAGCTTTAAAATGAAAGGGGGGGGGGGGGGGGGGGTCTGATCAGCTGGCCGGGCGGAACCGAGCCACGTAGGCGCCACAGGACAGGCAGTAGGGACGGGACGGCTCCGCGGGAAGCTGCTGGCAGAGCGAGCAGAGCTGGGGGTCCCTGCGGGGCGGGGCCGGGGGGGGCTGGCGGAGGCGAGCGGTGCGGGGGTCCCAGGAGGAGCTGGGTCGGACGGTCCTGTAGTCCGTGTCACGGCGCCAGTCGCTCTCAGGGGGCATGTCCAGGCGGAGCGGCTGCGGGGGGCCGAGGTGCTGCGGAGCGTTGCCGGGCAGCGATGGTTGCCGGTAGTGACCGTTAGAGGCGGTGTTGGCTGAGCGACGAGGGTAAGACAGGGTGGCGTACAGATTCTGTGGAGCCGGCAGGGGGGCCGGACCGGAGGAGACTCTGGGCCTGGGGAGGGAGGCGGTGTTGGAGGGAGGCGGGGCTCGGCGAGGAGCCCGGGGCAGAGTGCCGTAACTCAGCGCGACGCTGTGGAGGCTTTGACCTGAGACAGCCGGACGCCGGTCAGACACAACCAGAAACTGCTGCTGGACACCTGAGGAGGAGGAGGAGGAGCAGGAGGAGCAGCAGGAGGAAGAGCAGGAGGAGGAGGAGGAGCAGGAGGAGGAGGAGCAGGAGGAGCAGCAGGAGGAGCAGCAGGAGGAGGAGGAGCAGCAGGAGGAAGAGCAGGAGGAGGAAGAGCAGGAGGAGCAGCAGGAGGAGCAGCAGGAGGAGGAGGAGCAGCAGGAGGAAGAGCAGGAGGAGGAAGAGCAGGAGGAGGAGGAGCAGCAGGAGGATCAGCAGGAGGATCAGGATGAGCAGAAGGAGCAGCAGGAGGAAGAGCAGGAGGAGGAGGAGCAGAAGGATCAGCAGGAGGAGGAGCAGGAGGAGCAGCAGGAGGAGGATCAGGATGAGCAGAAGGAGCAGCAGCAGGAGGAGGATCAGCAGGAGGAGGATGAGCAGCAGGAGCAGAAGAAAGAGCAGGAGGAGCAGAAGAAGGAGCAGGAGGAGCAGGAAAAGAAGGAGGAGGAGGAAAAGGAGGAGGAGAAACAATTAGAGCACAAAGCTGTAAAGTGAACATGTTGACATTTAGAGAAACTGAATTTCAGTTGGCAGGTGGGAGGAAACAAATGAATCTCTTGAATCAGACCACGCGAGCTAAATGTTTGAATGACCTGCCCACAGGCGTTCAGGTCACCACGACATGCTGCTGTAGCGGTTTGCTAACCCACAACACCGCTCACGTTATCGAGCTATTAGTCGTGTCGTATGATTTCTCCGCCTTTATGATGCAGAGAAATATCACGAGTTAATGCTGGAAACGAACTCAGTGACAGAAACGCATTTTATTTTACTGGACCCTAGAGGCACATGAGTGATTATTTTAAACATATGAAATAAAGATAAATAAGATTTTAGAATAAAACATAACGCACGGTATTAAAAGATTTTTCCCTCCTGCGCTGAATTTTAGTTGATCCTGAATACTTATTTCTGGTGGACCATAATAATAATAAGTCTGAGACATTGTTAGATAAACAGATCCTAACATGAAGTCTGAGCACACAGGAGAACATTCCTTCTGGATAAATGATCCATTTACTTTCCCTCGGATTTTAAAACTCCTGCTGCGGAATGATGGAATGAATAATCAATGAACAGATAAAAGAAAAAGGAGAAACTGTTTGGCTGGTGGAGAGCGGAGGCGGAGGGCCGGCAGGTTACCTGAGAGTCCCCAGGATGAGAGGCCCGAGCTCGGGGGCCGTGATGTCTGCGAGGGGGGGTGCGGCGGAGGAGGTGCAGGAGCTGAGGGGCCGTGGTGTCGGGGTTGGTGGTGGTGGGAGTGATCTGTAATGAGGGAGGTGGAGGAGGAGGAAGGGAGGTGCAGGGAGGAGGTGCTGGGGCGACGGAGGAGGGAGGAGGAGGAGGAGGAGGAGTGAAGGTCGGCATGTCTGAGGGGGGGCCTGGACACAGAGGGGTCCTTCAGGGTGAAGAGGAGGACAGATCAAAGAAAGAACGGGATAATGAGGAGGAGAGGAAAACATGGAGGAAGATGGAGGAGGAGGTGCGACAGAGAGGAGTGAGAGGGACAAAGAAAGAAACAAGAGGAAGGAAATGAGATGAGAAAAGGGTCGAATATGAGATCAAGTAGAAGAAAAGGAGAATGGAAAAGAAAAAAGAGGGGAGGGGGTAAAAAATGAAACGAGTTAACATGATGGAGGGAACACCGTGAAAAATGACTGGATGAAATAAAACTCAATTAAAAGTCAGACATGTGATCAATGTTGGAGCTCTTGCATCTCTGAGATGCAAGTTCATTTGTCTAGGAATGAAAAAAAGGTGACTGAGCACACCTGTTAGCAAGCAGCTGCTAATCCAGCTTCAGAGCAACGGGACACTTCAGGAAACACTTCACCAGTTTAATAACTCATTTCTCCAGGACACTGAACCTCCTCCTGCAGCAGAGCTCACTTTAGTTTCCAGGTGCAGAACGTGGAATCACGACGTTACCTTCTACAGCCGGCGAGAGGAAATATTTTTATATATTTGTTGTACCTTTATTTTACCAGGCAAGTAAATTAAGAACAACGGCCTGGCAGGAGACAAAGGCCTCCTGTGGGAAAATGGTACAGGGAAGATTAAGGATGCAGCGAATCCACCGAAATTAAATGGCCAAAAATAGCAACAACAACTTAAAAAATAAATAAAAAAGCACTTCTGGTGTTCGGCCCAATAAGGCAAAAGACAATAAATTTTACCGAACAATTATGTTTTGATGTGTCGGCAGTGTGGAAGCATTTCAGCACATCGGCTCCATCTGTGGCTGATTTCTTAGAAAAGAACCGCTTTGAGTGTTTCTGTCTCTCCTTTCTGAGAAAGAGATGAAGCTGGCCGCACCTACATTTGGAGTGCACACGTATTCAAGCCTTTACGGTAAGTGAAGCAGCCCACAGCGAGCTGACAGGCAGGTTAGAGAGTCCTGCCTGAAGAGAGGCTGTGAAGTCTTCATGTTACAACATTATTTATCAAACCGGGTCGGACTGGATGGATTTAGGCGGAAACGCATGTGACAACGTCCGGTTTTCAAAATAAGACGTCTGTACAGGATTGGATTATATATTCACAGAAAGTATAAATCATATTACATGTGTCCATTAAAAGTAAACGCATGTAATTTACTTTACCGGACCCCCTCGGGCCCCCGCGGGCCCTGGACCCCCCCCCGGGCCCCCCCACCATAGTCTGTCCACATCCTGTGGGAAACACTGAGGAAAAAACACTTTTCTTTCTCAGACACTTTAAAATGCTTCCACACTGCCGACATGTCAAAACATAATTGTTCAGTAAAATCTTCTGACTTATTAGGCCGAACACCGAAAGTGCTTTTTTTTGGGCTACTTTCGGACGGTTCATTTCGGTGGCCGAACATTCGGTGCGTCCCTGGAACGCGCTGTGTAACAGCAGCAACGTCTCAGGTACAGAACACAGGTGAGCTGACCTTTTATACTGAAGGGAAACGAATGATGTCAACAGGTGATTCAATATAGAGACGCCCCTCTCGTGCAGAGACTCCTTTCACTTTAGCCGTGAAGGGAATGGCTATACGGCGATAAGCTGTTCCTTCAGATAACCACTGACTGCAGGTCAGACTCCGAAGAGGACGTTTTCAGTTTAATGCCGCAGCCATGCGAGCTTGAATGTTTCAGCTGCAGACACAATCTGCCCGGCTCACCCTGCGGCTGAGGGGAAACATCAGGCTTCGGTGGGGCCGCGAGGATTCGACGGTGATATCTGGAGTCAAAGCTCAGCTGTCGGTTCACATCAGGCAGCGAAGCGCCGAGGTTAAAAGCTTAAGGGGAGAACTAAATCAGCGATCAATCTTTAATGCGCCGGCCTGAGGCGAATCCTGAGGGCTGAATACAAGATGGCTCAACGCCAGCGGCAACAGAGAGGAGGAAGCAGCAGCAGGTTCAGGGGCGGTAAAGGGGTTTTACAGAATGATGCAACATTCTTTAATGTCGTGCCATTTTAAATGTATTTATTTAAGTTCCTCTGTGTTCGTTGGTTAAGAAAGAGGTTCTTTAAGGAACCCAAATGACGCTAATTAGTTAGACAGGGTGTCTCCGTCACAATAAAATCATGAAGCTAAATTTAATAATATAAACTGGCTGAACACGGATCCACATGTTTTTCAACACTTTAAAGATCTGTGAAACAACTTAAAGGACGTTTCCTTCAGAGAACTTTGTAGTTTAGCACTAACTGCAGTGAAAAGTGTAAAAATATATATACTTTAAATTAATTAAATCAAATAAAATGCTGCGCTATCCTAACCTCGTCTTTCAGTCAGTCTGATGCGTTCACAGGCACTTCTCCTGACGACCAAGTGCTAACTTAATGTTAAAATGTGATCATGCTGTTAACGTCAGTGGTGGACAGTAAGTACATTTACTCAAGTTAAGAACAAATTTGAGGTACTTGTATTTTACTTGAGTAATTTCTTCTCCTCGTCCATCTCAGACGGAGATATTGTACTTTTTACACACAAAACACATGAAGAGTTTACAAAAAAGGATGTTTTCTCATAAATTACAGCTGACGCCATTAGCTGATTGAATTAATTGGCAAAATTTAGATGATCGTTTTTTATATTACATCAGCAACCAAACAAACAGAAGCATCATAGTACTTTTCACTGTTAAATACTTGAGTATTTTTAAATGCAGGTACTTTTATAGTTAAATTGAAGACTTCTACCTTTAGTGGAGTGATTTCAAGAAGGATATCTGTACTTTCACTCAGGTACAGGATTTGCGTACTTTGTCCACCACTGGTTAATCTTAAAGTACAGCTCGGTTATTAGCTGTAGAGGTGACATGTGATGGACAAGAGGAAATCCTGACCTGTGGGTAGCACTACATGAAAAATCACCACCACATGTTTGTGAATATCTGAACCAACGGCTGTCCGGACGTTTCAGTCTCCGGCAGAGAGCGTGACAGACTGATCACAGCGCGGATTACTAAAGCTGTATTACTGCTGACACGCAGTGCTGATGTCTAAATTATTATTATAAGCTGTAATGTCAAGATTTGTGTTTGCCTTTCTGACCAGTCTCATTACAGTCACACTGGCTGCAGTTACATCGTGCAAACACAAGGTGGCAGCACGCCGTTAAGGAAAACTCCCAGTGGAGGGAGGTGATGATGTGTGTGTGTGTGTGTGTGTGTGTGTGTGTGAGACTTACGCAGCTGTGGGAGGGGCCGAGGTTTTGGGGTCGAGACCCGATGACGGTTCCACTCAGGCTGCGGGCGATGCGTCGCAGGTTTTCTGCGCTGTAGCTCTCGTCTTCACCTGACGGCTGCTGCACGGAGGACAGAGGAGGAGTTAAGTTCACGGGGTAGCGCTTCACACGCTCGGTAATAACGTCTTTAAAGTTAAGTAAGCACCTTCAAAATCACACGGAAATTCTTGGAAGTCAAAATTTGGTAGTTAGGATATAATAATGCTGAAGTTCCAAACATTCTCGTTTTGTTTGACCATAAAACTGTACGGATGTTTGATGCTGCACCTTGTTGTTACCTGGAAACACCTGTGGTACTTTCTGTGTAGTGACACCCAATCAGGGCTGCAAACTTCACAAGATTATCTGAATTCCCCGAAAGCTGTACAGTTTTATAAAGCCGCTGAAAAGACACAGAACTCGTGTTTTCACACCAGCAGGTGCGGCGCATGTAGAGGAGGCTTAATGACGTAGCCTATCGTAAAGACGAAACCACCGGATGGCATCTGCACCGGTGTGTTCTTGTCGCTTTACCTGGTCTGCGCTTGTTAAATATCCACCGTGTCTTGTTATAGATCGCATCTATGCAAAAAGTCTATGTGTGGCAAACACTGAGCTGCAGCACATCTGCCTTCAAGTTTTTTACAGTGTAACATTACTGCACAGCTGTCCAACTGTATACTTTGTACACATACTTTACTTTTTCAAGACACTCGTTTCCCTCCAGGTTAAATTTATTCATCCATAAAAACATGGAAATTGGAGTCATAAAAAGTTTATTCCGATTAAGTCACTAATTTATAGCAAAACAAGATGATTTGAATGTATATTATTCTTTCTGTTGAAATATTGAGATCAAAAAATATAGACTCTGGATTTTGATTTAGGAAACTTTTGAAATAACTATGAACTAATGTTGGTAAAAATGATTACCTCCACTCCTCCTCACCAGGTCACCAGGTGTTTGAGTGAGAGAGGAGGACTGAAACTAATTAGTGATCGTATTGTAAGATTATCTGAAGAGTTTAAGTTTATAGGTTCTGTTGAAAGTCAACCACGGAGAATTTGTTTTTGTTTTTTCTGAATAATAAATCTTGTATTTGAACAAAACGGAAGGATCTCACAATCCTCGTCCAAAAAATGGCGTCTGAGGAACAATAAAATAATTGAAAGAGACGCCAGGTGCTCAGTAAAAACAAAACCTCTTTCCATTATTCTAATTAATGTCCAAACACCTGCAGCCTACATTACTCACAATGCAACTCTTCCTCTGACAGGCTAGAAGTGGCTAATGAAGCCTGCAGCAGAGCTCTTGTATCTCATATCTTTCCAACAACACATTTCTTTCAGTTTCAAACTCATCAGCTGACGCACAACATTTGGATCGTCTGGCTGGAACCCAGTCCGCTTAATCAGGTCAGTATCAGATCAAATCTGTGTGTTAACCATAAAATGTTTAATAGTCAGTCAGTCGGTACCTTATGAACAGGTGCAACCGGTGTTCTGTAGGCGAATCGCTCGATCTCAGCCGTCGGCGTTTTGGACCGTCCAGATCCTGACAGCATTCTCCTCACACCTACACACACACATATATATATATTAAGAACAGCAGGTGCAGTACTAACTCTGTCTGTTTCTGCAGAACCAAGGGGAGACAAGTGCTTTTCCACTCACCTGTTTTTATTACACATCTCCAGTTCGTGCATAAAAACACCTCAATAGAAGCCTTTGAACTGAGTTTTAAACTACGCTGCATTGGAGAGATATAAATCTAACCTACACCATGTCAGTATTGACTAAGTTTCACCTACGTGTACGAAAACTCTGTGGTACGTGTATCATGTCCAGACGCACAAAAAAGCCTCTTGGAGCGATGCCCGACACCGAACAGGAAGTCAGCCGTTTTGGATTTAATGGTCATTTTTGTCGATTTACACACTCTGTACTTTAACCAACTCCTCCTAGGGAATTAGTCCGATCGACTTTGAATTTTCGCTGTGCCTTCTAAAGGCATTGACGATTAAAAGTTGTACAAACGGTTATTACCAGTCGACCAGTTTGCCCGTGGCGTTCTGTCAAAAATCGATGATTTGCCGTGAAACAGGAAGTTGTTAAAACTTCAGTGTACATCCTCATATCTGCATCAAATTTTATATGTATAATAAGAGTCCCGTCCTGAACACATCCATATGCCAATATCCACTCCAGGTCATAGCGCCACCTGCTGGCAACAGGAAATGATACGTTTTACACTGTAATGTACTACTCCTACTTTCCCAGAAAACCCTTAACACGTTGACAATGCCATGTTGTAAAACTTGTGAGTTTTTGGTTAACGGTGTGGCGGTGGCTTCGCCAAGACACAGGAAGTTGTTGTAACTTGACCGTCCAATCTAAGATCTGTACCAAATTTTACACGTTTGATAAGAGTCCCGCCCTGAACACATATACATGCCGATATTCAGTTATAGTCATAGCGCCAAGTGCTATGCGGCGCCACAAAGGGGACACAGGAAGTGACGATTAACACCTTCGTGCAGTGTCCGAAGCACGTTGCAAATTCACAGCCGCACATCTGCAACGCGGTCGCCTCACACCTCGACGCGCTACACATGCAAGGGCCCGCCCAACGCTGCTTGTTTTTTAACATGGTATCAATTTGAGACAGAAAATAAAAGCCTGCCCTCTAATCTAGACTTTTGATGGAAATAACACTCTGGAGCTGAAGTGTTTAGTCTTGTTGACGGCAGCTTAACGTCGATCAGGAGTACGGCCAAGAAGAAACAGCTGGAGTCGATTTTGTTTTATCATCCATATGTCTACAGGTTCTTCTTTTACCTCGACGTTTTTGGCTCTTGCCTCTGACTGTGCAGTTCCTACCTGGCTTGTTGCTGACTGGCTGAGGACTGACTCCACGGCTGCCCCGGTGCACGCTGGGAGCCAGCAGACTGGCCTGGTACAGAGAGTCCAGCTCCGACAGCTCCTCGTCGGGCGCCGCCGCTCCGTCGCCTTCTGTTGCGTTCTGGGAGTCGTAGTATCGGTTGACGTTTTCTGCCCAGCACTCCACAGGCAGGGCGGATCTGAAGTCCTGGCTGGGGGGCGGCGAGGAGGGCAGACCGGGCCGGCTTGCAGGAGGCGGGAGGGTGTTGGAAGGGGGGTCTGGGGAGTAAAGGTGCGAGCTGACTGGCAGGTCTACAGGAGAATCAACAACATCAGGTCGGTCCAGGTGTAAGCAGGACCAGTTCCTGGCTGGGTAGGTGGAATGGGGCGGGGCTGGTCTGGAGACGGGGTTAGACGCAGGGGGCGTGGCCTGTGGGTGTCTTGTGTAATATGGCTCCTCCTCCATCTGAGGACGCCTGTCGCAGGTGCCAACAGGCGACGGGGTTCGGGGGTATGGCTTGGGTGGGGCCTGTGCTGAGATGGAGACAGGAGGCGTTCTGGCCCACTGGGGGGGATGGTCCGGCTCCTCAGGTGGAGGGGGTGGGGCCAAGTCGCCTAGTGGGCTCTGCTCCCAGGTGTCCACGCACAGAGCAGGGAGGGACCTGGTGTTGGTTAGGGGTTTCCTGATGTGAGAGCTGCTGTCCTGCCTCGGTGAAGCTATAAGGGCCCCGGCACTGGAGGCGGGGTCAGACACTGAATTCATTTTGGGAGGGAGGGGCTTAACAAGGCAGGGAGAGAGAGGCGGGATCTGCTGGTCCTTACAGGCAGCTGATTGGTCGCCCTGTCTCTCTGTCAGAAGTATTTGGAGCGAGAGAGGCTTTTCACTGCACAGAGAGAGAGAGAGAGAGAGAGAGAGAGAGAGAGAGAGAGAGAGAGAGAGAGAGAGAGAGAGATATTAGGACCTGTGTGTGTGTGTGTGTGTGTGTGTGTGTGTGTGTATATAAGTGTGTGTGTGTATATAAGTGTGTGTGTGTATATATAAGTGTGTGTGTGTATATAAGTGTGTGTGTGTGTGTATATAAGTGTGTGTGTGTGTGTATATAAGTGTGTGTGTGTGTGTATATAAGTGTGTGTGTGTGTGTGTGTGTATAAGTGTGTGTGTGTATATAAGTGTGTGTGTGTGTGTGTGTGTGTATAAGTGTGTGTGTGTATAAGTGTGTGTGTGTATAAGTGTGTGTGTGTGTGTGTGTGTATATAAGTGTGTGTGTGTATAAGTGTGTGTGTGTATAAGTGTGTGTTGGCCTGCAGCATGTGAACAGATGGTGTCGTTTGAGAGCTCTGGCTAAACACAGGGCTGTGTGTGTGTATAAGTGTGTGTGTATAAGTGTGTGTGTGTATAAGTGTGTGTGTGTATAAGTGTGTGTGTGTGTATAAGTGTGTGTGTGTATAAGTGTGTGTGTGTATAAGTGTGTGTTGGCCTGCAGCATGTGAACAGATGGTGTCGTTTGAGAGCTCTGGCTAAACACAGGGCTGTGTGTGTGTGTGTGTGTGTGTGTGTGTGTTTCCTGGGGAGTACCGACGATCTCTCACCATGTTTCACCCTCTGAATTAGCTGCTTGTCACGACAACACTTCTGTTGTCTCTAAAGCGCTGCTAGCGCCCCCCCGGAGGCCGCGGTCTTCATTACAGTCAGATTGTGAAAGTGTTGCACAGAACAAACAACACAGCTCTTCTTTAAACGTGTTTAGTTTTGAATTAGTTCTGCAAACTAATTTCCTTACGGGGACAAATAAAGAGATTTTACGTAGCGTCGGTGCTACTACGGCTAAACTAACTACACGTCGGGGCTACAGAGGGTCCCCGTGGAGACTATTACCCCCGTTCAAGTTAGCGGAGGGCTAAACTGGTAGTTAGCTGGCTCGGCCGGCAGCGGTCAACGCAGTGGACAAGAATAAATGTGTGGCCACGTGCGTAGACTCTCCACACAAGTATAAATCAGGCTTATTATTCAATTTTGTATTTCAAATAGGGCTGGACAATAAAATAATAAAGAGCCATGACAATATAACAAATGTTCAATAAATATTCAACAAATTTTTGAGTTTATTCACTTGAATCATACGAATAAGGACTTAATTTTTTATTAGGATGTTTATTTTGTTGAGGACAAAGGACTGAAAAAAGCTTTTACTTAATTTTACTTGTGCATATTTGTTGACAAAGATTTTATCAGAATTGTTTTGAATGTTCTGCCTGATTTGTGAACTGATCCACTGTTTGGCATCAAGGGTTTGTTCTGACCATAAAGAAAAGGTTAAACCACAATTAACCATTAAGTTTCTTCAACTTTCACACAGGAGCAAAAATCAGCCTTTAAACTCAAAACAAATAACGATTTGATACTTATCGTGATAATTATCGATAATTTTTATCGTGATAAAGTTTTTGTCCAGCCCTAATTCTAAATAAACTTTATAACATTAAAAATCAACCTCCTCAGGAGTGTCTTGGTGTGTTAGTTTGTTCATTTGTAGTTTTGCATGTTGCCGTTTGTTGTTTGTCTGCTGCTCTGAACTGACACCTCAACCTCCTGATCGCTCAACGCGACTGGCTGCAGTCAGACTGCTTCAGTGGTCAGTTGCAGTGATTGGTCGGTGCTGCAAATCTTCTGCAGAGACCAAAACCTGGTCCTGCCTGTGAGTCATCCTCCCCAGCGATTCCAGCTAAAATATTTGACACACTGCGTGACTTCTGGCTGAGCGGACTACAGGTGGTACCTGGGCTGTTCCTGGAGCTGCTGCCCCTCCTCCTGTTGTTGCTGCAGCGGCTGTCTGCCTGCCTCTGAGTGCTGCTGCTGCTGCTGCTGCTGCTGCTGCAGTTGCATGCGTTGCTGCAGGCTGCGGGCTCTCCTCATGCAGCGCTGCAGCCGGCTGTGACTACTAGCTCCGCCCTCAGCCGCCACCAGCTGCAGTTTGGCTGCAGCCGTGTCACATGTCAACAGAAAATACACAACAGAAAGAAAAGGAAAAAAAACAAAGAGAGGAAAGAATAAATAAGGAAAAGGATGCAGAAAATAACTTGTTATGATGATTTCATGCAAAAATCTTAAAAAGCAAATATACACCTGACAGAAAATCAAATATCAGACTGCTGACATGATGGTGATGTGTGACTGTGTGTGTATTATGGGAATGGTAGGCATGAGAAATTACAATATTAAAAGAACAACAACTCAGGTTTAGTTCTCAATGATGAAATGGCGAAATTATATTCAGACATCAAACGTTAAATTAACAAAATTACAACCACAAATGTCCGAACTACGTCAAACCGAGCCGTCAAGTTAAAGGATCGTTCCGGATTATAACAGCTTATTGTAGGAGTTTTGTCAGTCATTCAGTAACAACAACACTGACCTCTCCAAGTTAGCGCCGTTGTCTCGATTTCATCCGACTGTCAGACTGTGAACATGCCTGGGTTCGCAGAACTCATCAAGGCCACATCAAGTCGCCAATGATGGCCTAATTAATACTGATGACATGTTTTCATTTAAAACAGGAAACTGTGGGTGTGACAGGTAGAAGCAGCAAAGACCGCCTGCGACAAACTCAACGTACTGATTGTTTTCGTTGTGCGCCTCCCCTCCGGGGTAGTGTTTTAGTGCGAAGAGGTGAAAACTGAGGGCTTTAAAAAACGATGACGCAGGCGCTCACGTTTGGCTTCCTGATTGGCTCTCATCAGTCACGCAAAGCAGAAACACGATGCTGCCGACAGAGTTTTGGTGTTTTTATTAAAATATTTTGAACTTGTACTGCGCATGTCTCCGTTTTTGCTTTGCAACGACTCCCAGCCTGTTTCCCGCCGCCACCGTCTTCTTCGTTCTCCCGTGTTCCTTTCAGAAACAGTCCCACCTCGTCGTCGCTCCACGCAAAGAAATCTCTGCTGTGGTTCTTTCACCATCGCTGCTCTTTGTCTCTAGAAGAACTTTCTTCCATTGTCGAATCTTCTGCAGCTGCGGAGTAGACAATCTGCATCCTGTTTACCCCGGCACGCACATGCCCAGTGGACGTGAGCGGCCACTTCATGTGCGTTTTCAGTCCTTTTAATATAGACGGAGATCAATTCTGATACGCAGTAAAAACGCTGAGTGGATGTAGATACGACGACGAACCTGGTGCTTTGTTTCCACCCCGCGTGATCGCCTGACTGCTTCCTGAACTGATATTTAACGATGTCTCCACGTTCCCAGATAATGACAAGTTAATTATTCCTGACAGAAATGATTGACTAAACTACCAAAACGAGACCCAAGTTGTACTTGAACAGTTTCTGGAAGTGACGCTGCTCCGACGGGCTTTGATTTAGGGGAGAGGAGGTTTCAATGTCTCAATGTTTCGTTCCCTTCGGTTTTGTATATGCGGCGCTTTTCTTTAATCTGTCGATCGATGTTTCGGCACAGTTTTGTATTTTTCTTCTGTTTTGATGGGGTTTTTTGACGGTCAGGTTTTTGTGGGTGAACGACTGAAGAGTTTGTCGTGCTGCTGCAGTGACGGCAGACGATGGTGAATGCTGGACAAGGCAGTGTGTGTGTGTGTGTGTGTGTGTGTGTGTGTGTGTGTGTAAGTATGATTGACAGATCAAACGAAATGAGAGAGAGAAATTAGTCTAAATGTTCAGAGAGGAGAAAACACCAGCAGAGTGTGTGTGGAGTGTCGGTCGTTGATGTTCTCAGCCACTGTGCTGCCTCTAGTTTCCATTAGCAACCAAGCAGAGGGTTGGTGGGCAGGGGGGGGGGGTGACCTCATTCACAGTGTGTTTATTTTGGAGTGTGTGTGTGGGGGGGGGGGCAGGTGATGTGGGTGTAAAGTGGAGGAGGCGGGGTCAGGAAGGGAGCAGAGGAGGAGCTTACAGACTGCTTCGTTGACCGCCGACAGCGCAGCGGCGACCTCGCCCGCCTGCTCCAGACGCACCGACTGGTCCAGCAGAAGCTCCGCCTCCGACACGCACCGCTCAAAGCTGTCGCCTTTACCTGCAGGATAAACACACACACACACACACACACTTAGTGATTCTGCTTCACGGATCCTCTAGCAAAACCCTTCTGATGGGTGAGGCCAGAGAGCTGCAGTTTGTTGCTTCATGTCAGGTGACTGCATCAGTACATCCAATGGGACGCCACTTTACTGATTACAGCAACGGTGTTATTTCACACACTGTGTACTTTGAACATTTTAAGTTAACTCGTTAAATCCAGTCTTGTTCCCGGCCCCAGAGTGCGCCGGAGCACCTAACATTTCACTGGACAGATTTTTGTTTTCGGCGGTCTGTGCTGTCCATAAAACTCACTCGTGGAAGCAGGTGAGAGTGAAAGTTAAGGGTTAAGAGAAAGATGCCGCTGAAGGTTTGAGCGTACGACTCAAAGAGTTAAAGGCCAGAGACGTGTGCAGGAAACGTGCTCCGAAATGCACCTTTATATTTTCTTAATGAAACATACCTCTGAGAATCTGCTCTCAGACTGATGAGGTAGGACGGTAATGACTCCTGACTCAAAGGTTTCTGAATCAGAGATCTGCGTAATCTGCTCTCAGTAACAAACAGCGTGATACAATTATAAAGTGAAGAGCAGCCAGCAGCTGGAAACACACACACAGGCTTTATTACTGCATGGGTCATTGTGTCCTTTGTGTGGCGGCTGAGTCGGGCCTTTCAGCTGCTCAATGAGGAACATTCCTGCTGTCCAACACACCTGCTGACCACGCACACACAAACTAACAGCTGAGTGACCCCATCAGTGATGGAAATCTCTCATTTATTGACATTTACTTATTTAAATTGACTTCTAGTGGAGTCCTGATGACTCTGAAAAAGAAGTTTATTCCTGAGTCTACTTTCATTGCACCCTAAGAAGCCACATGTCCCATGATGCATTGTTAATACAAAGATACAACTGAGTGTAATGTGTGTGTGTGTGTGTGTACCCTGGATCTGCAGCTGGTCCAGGTCCAGGTACTTGCTGGGGCGCGGGTTAAAGCCGAGCGCCGCCTCCCTCTCCTTCTCCTGCTGTCGCTGCTGCTCCTCCTCCCTCGCTCTCCTCTGCACCTCCTCCTGCAGCTCGTCCAGCTCGCTGCGGCCTGCAGGGGGCGCTGGTCAGCACACACACACACACACACACACACACATAAATCATCACCGTGAACTCCAGCTATGCGCTTGCAAGACGGCCTACACGGGTAGTTTTCACATCACGTTGGAAATTTGTTTAAAAGAGACGTCCTCAGGAGGGACCGTGCCTCCTGCGTCCTGCCCCTAAATTAAGTTTGTGTTGACGTGCCGAGGCTGGCCAATGGGACGGCAGGGCTCACTGTGCCGGTTCACACAGAATACATCGTCAGCTGCAATGACGTGAGAAGCTAATAAACTCTGGACTGCAAACGCTGCTGTTGGTGAGCAACACAAAGCTTAAGTCAGCTAACATTAACAAGGTGGTGGGCAAGAGTTCCAACAGTGAAGACGACCAAAGCCTGCGCGGAGGGTTCCCCGTCGGCCCGAAAATGACGTCTACAGAGGAGAGATGTAACCGTATTGTTTAGATAAGACGCGCTCATCACTGTAGCTCCATTAAACGGCAAAAGCTTCAAGGGGCAGCAGCTGAAAGTGAAAGGCCGTGGCTCAGTTTGCTTTACTATCCATTTAAAGACGTGGTAAAAGCAGCACGATCGCTTTCATTTCAACAAGTTTCCAGGTCGGCAGAACGCAAAGTGAAGTTTAGACGGGGCACAAAGAGACGCGCGTCGGTTCATGATGTTAAAAATGTTTCAACAAACGTGAAAAACGAGGAAAAAGGAGGCGAACACGAACAACACACACGTCGTACCGAGGCTCCCCCTGCCGGATGAGCTGAGGTCCTGCAGCAGAGCTCCACTGCTCTTCGACCGGATGTTCCTCCATGACGGTCCTGACGAAGAGGAGGATGAAGGCTTTTTCACAGCACAATCCCTGAAGAGAAGAGAATGACATATGAGCACACTGGCATCCAGTAATAATTATCTTGAATGTTCTGACACAGTCACAGTTCAAGCTTCAACAAGAAAGTGTTTGTAGGTTTCCTTAAAAATCACTAATTTCCTACAAATCATTTCAGCTTAAAGTTAAATGACAGCTGCTGCTCTGTTTGCAGTATATAACAGGACAGATAGAGTCTAGTAGTTTATTATAGTATAAATGTACAGATTTAAACAAATACTGAAAACTAAAGGATGTGAATCGGGGACAGGAGGTCGTCACCTGTCTCCCAGGTTCAGGTCCAGGCTGACCGGGCTGCTGCTGTTCCTGTCGCTGCTCTCGTATCCGCTCTCCATCCTCTGGATCAGCCTGGGAGGAGGAGGAGGTGGAGGAGGCAGGTCTGCCCCTCCTCTAACACCTCCTGTACTTCCCCTTCCACCCCCTGGTCCATCTCCACCCGCCCTGTGGCTGTTGGAGGTAGTGGGGAGAGTCCAGGAGGAGCCAGGTCTGACAGACTTGACCTCCTCCTGGGCTGGGAAGGAGGCGTCTGCTCCTTCGGAGGCCGGAGCTCTGCAGTCATCTTGCAGGGAGGCGCCGAGCGGGCTGTATCCCGCCTGCCTTCGCCTCTCGCGGCTGAAGATGCTGTCGATGTTGAGCACCTCCCTTCGTGGCCTCCATGCCGGCCGGCACCTCCCCGACCCTGCTCCCCCTGAGCAGCTGGACTTGGACTCGCTGCTGGTGCTGTCGGCCTCCCAGTCATGGAGCTTACTGGAGGAGGAGCAGGAAGCGGCGGTGCTGGCGGGGAGGTGGTGGTTGATGGTGGAGGAGGTGATTTCAGAGAGGACGGCAGCTGGTAAAGAGGAGGAGGAAGAGGAGGAGAGGGGTCGGCTGTGGATGATGTTGCTCATGGTCTCCTTGAAGTCTCGGAGGCGACTGGTTGATGAGGATGAGAAGGAGGAGGAAGGTTTGGGGAGGTGACGAGGAACCTGCTGCTCCTTTAAGGTCTCTCCTGGGAGGAGGGAAGAGGAGAGGAGGAGAAAGATGAAGCAGAGACAGGAGAACGGAGTGAGAATGTGAAAAGGAAGGAAATTAGGATAAGAGACAGACGGGTAAGGAGGGAAAAAAAGAACGGGGGGAGGAAAAGGAGGAGGACAAAGCAGGTAGGAGGGAACGAGGGAAAAGTAAAGTATCAGAGTGACAGCAGGTTTGAATGAAGGAACAGAATGATTTAATGTGAGTGACAGCAACGATAACAGCAACATGAATCCTCCTTCAGTCACAGGACTGTTTTAACTCGACCGCTGGGGATCTTTCATTTAACTCCCTACATTTTAGCACGGCAGGGAAAAATGGCTAATTGGGCCCAATTTGGACATTTTCATTTTTGGTGTCTTCACTGTTGTTGCCAGCGGTTTAGACATTAATGGCTGTGTGATGTGTTATTTTCTGAAATTTAATATATTTTTGGTGTACTTCTACAGGTGCAGCTGTTCTAAATCTGATTTTTGGAATAAATAATTTATAATACAGAAAAGTCGACCTGAGAAGTGCTCTGATCAGACGATTAACTCAAAAACACCTACAAAAGATTTCCTGAGACTTAAATCTCTCAGTCTGGTTCTGGTGCTCATAACGCACGTCTCCGAGAGGCACCTGTACTCGTCCATGGTTCTAATTTCAAGTGAAGTTTAAAATGTGTCAGGATTTACAGGAGGTGCGGACTAACTTTAGACTCGACTTCACTCGAAATCAAAAAAGGACTTCCAACTGGACTTTGACTTTAACACTAATGACTCGTGACTTCACTTGGACTCGATACCCTCCCCGAGCCAAAATATAAATTGTGATAAACTGTGCAGCGCATCAACGCTTCATTTGATTAATGAAATTAATTAGATGACATTTGTTGTGTGAAACTGCACCTTTGCCTTTTATCTGTACACTTTGTTCAAAAACGTTTCATTTTTAAACGCTTAAAAATATAAAAAATGGTATTAAATTTGGAGAAGAGCACATTATGACTTATTTAGGACTTGGTACCACATCTGATGATTTATTTTTCAACTTTAAAATATGCCGCTTGGTCCTCAGCTGTCAAACTATTCTGATCTAAACATTTTACCTGTGTTATGTTAACAAATAAAAATATATTGTTATCAAACTTTTTAAAACTTTTCTAAAAATCAGAATAAAAATCCAGTTTTATTCAACGTGTCACATTTTTTAATTAATCTGCCCAATAGTTTCCTCTCTGCCCTGTGATTGGCCAAATTCCCCAGCCCCTGATTGGCACAAACCCCGCCTACCCTCGCTGTGGTAACCGGCCGATGAGGCTTCGTGGTCAGGTTTAGATCGCCGGTGCCGGCTAGAGCTCCGCCTCCTATCCCCGGCCCCGCCTCCCTTCCTCAGAGACTGGTGCTGCTCACTGTCCGTCACGTGGCCTTAGCAACAAGAAGCATGGTAACGGATGTTTTACAGCATGGTCACCACATTCACGCAACACACAATGACAGAAGACAAATGGCAGAGTGTGATTGGCTGCACAGCAGGGTCACATGGGTCAAACCTCTTCAGGTTAAAGTTTAGATTTTACTTTACCAGTTCAAATTCTTGTTTACTTCTCATAATAAGAGACGGTGTAAATTAAAGTGAACGGTGTGTCATCAGAGAGGCGACTGATCAGACCCTGCTGTGATTGGTTAACAACATGCTGATGGTCATTCACATCAAATACTATGAAGGTAGTGTTTCACATATCGCAGGTTTGTCTACCTGGATATTTATATCTGCTAACCCAATGATGCTTCTAAAGATTTTTTTGCAGTATTGATTAATCTGCTGATATAATCGTTAACTGTTATAAAGAAAATGCCTCAGATGACGTGTTCAAATTGCTTGTTTGTCCAAAACCAAAATATTTCTTTTGCGTATAAATATTCTGTTGATAGACTAATCGATGAAACAACTAATTGTTCCAGCTCTAAGGTGGTAAATAAATGTGCTAACTGCTCACCTTGTTGACAGCACTATACTATGTATCCTGACAAAGTGGTAAATGATTTATGAATGGTAAAAATTTTAAAACATAAAGAAGCATGTCGTCTTCATACAAAGACATTACGTTGTATAACTTTGTAATTATACATCCCCATGCTGCTTTATTACCAAAGTCCAGCAGCACTGTGACGGAGCCTTTACATCTTCTACATAATACTTTTCAATATATTCTACTGCTTTGTGTGGTTGGAATAAAAGCTCCAGTAAACTTCAAAAGAATCGTGTAGACGATCGACAGAAAAATAAACAACTTCAATAGGTGATTGACCAATAATGGTGATCTGGTTCCAGGATTTGCTGCCTTTCTTTTTTAAACCTTTGAAAACGGACCTTGAACTCACCTCGAACTCGCCACGGGAGTTTGTTGTTCGCATTATGCTGTTTAAATTGATTTAAAATACAAACCATAATAGCTAGACCATTCATTATTTTTGCAGCAGAAAGATAAGACTTCTGTCACTCAGGTCATCACGTTCTAAGCTTGTGGTGATGCCGTTATGTTACATTATGCTATGTTATATTTAACATAGTAGGCCTAGCTATGACATATTGCAGTAGTAGTTAACAGGAACTGCCATGAAGACAACCATAGGGACACATACAATTTACATAATTTGTGTGGATTGTTAAGAATTTTTTTTTTTTTTCCCCATCTTTCTAAATTTGAAATCTTTTGGATCACTATGTTGTGTGTTTATTTAAGTTTTATGAGAAAACATGCCTGATTTTTTTTATTTTTATTTACCACCCAATTTCAGGTTCTATGGATATGAAGCTTTTGAAGATAATACACAAAAATGACATCACAGTACGCAAAAATACTAATGTAGGCACATGTGGACCATTTGATTTGCAGAGCTCAGTGGGTTAAATAATTTAAAATGAATCTCTCTGGGTTTTTCACTGTTGGTTGGACAACACAAGACATCTGAAGACGTAACCTTGGACTGAGGGAAACAGATCCCACACATTTTATAGATCAATCAACAGATGAATTAATCGGTAATACTAAAGTTAAGCTGTCTATCTGATTTGCTGTCCGGTGTATCCATCAATCCCAACTCCTACATCCCGCCCAGATGACTTCTGCGGTCCATGCAGCTACCCACCTATGGTATCCAGGCTGCAGAGCGAGGCGTGCAGCGGTCCGTCTGGGCGCTCGGTGCAGATGACGGTTCCCTGGGAGTCAGAGGAGTAGTGACTGGCCAGGGACTCATGGTGCGAGTGGGAGGGCTGTCGGTATGAGTAGCTCTCCGTCGACGAATCGGTGCGAGTGTCGCTGGAGATGGACTGCTCGCGGCCTGGCCGGGGAGGTGGTGGGGCGGGGTTAGTAAACAAGTCGAGGCACGTCAGTGGTGATGAACATGTGCTCATATACACGCACACACAAATATACATCACCTAAACACCACTGCTGCTATTAGTGCTACTACTACTGCTACAACGACAACTACTTCTCTAACTGTTAGCTGCTCTTAAGTTACCTCAGTCTTGTCTGCCATAGTACTACTACTACGACTATTACAAGTACTACCGTTTCCGGTTTAGTTACCTGAATGTTTGCTGTTGTGCTACTACTACGACTCCTAGTTGTGTTGTAGTTACCCGAATCTTCGCTGTCGTAACAAGCCTTGTTGAGGTGGTGGAGGTCGAAGCGCGAGGGCAGGTCCTGGACCGACACCGGCGTCCCCCGCGGGTCGGCGTACAGCAGTAGCAGCGGCTGGTAGTGGCCCTTGATGCAGCGTGAGACCACGTCCTTCCACTTGGGACCGATCTGCAGGGGACAAAAACAGACAGGAGACGATGACTCCAAAAGCTGATGACAAGGCTACGAAACTCCAGACTGACATCTACAGAAATATATACACGTTTTATATTTGTGAAACTTTCAGCCCAGAGCTGCAAACAAGTCTAAAATGTTTTTATCACTTTTCAGAATTCTTTGATCAGCTCTGATTTAAATCATCAGTTTAACAGTCTTTTGGGTCCAGTTCACACTTGCAGGGCTCCAGACTTCGACTTTTTTTCTTGGTCGCACTGTTGCAACTAACATTTCGCAGGACATTTTTTGTGGGCCACGTCTCTTTCTGTCTGTGTGTGTATTATTATTATTCCCCAAAACTCACTCACGGAAGTCTATGTTGTCAATAATTATCTGGATAAATGTTAAATCGTTATTTCTTTCGAGTTTAAAGCCTGATTTTTGCTCTTGACTGAAAATTGAGGAAACCAGATGGTTAATTATGTCGTTAATCTTTCTGTATGGTCAGAATGGAACAAACACTTGATGCCAAAGAGTGGATCACTTAACAAATCTGAGAGAGAACAGTCAAAACTATTATGATAAATAAATAAAAAATTAACAAATGTGATTAGTAAATCTTTTTTCAGCCCCTTGATTCAAATAAATTAAACAAATATTTATTGATGATATATTGAACATTTATTTTTTTATTGACGACGCTACCAAGTGTTGTTTTACAATAATTAAGTTTTGGTAATTTTTTTAGTTTTTCCTAACAAAATTTACCTGAAGGTTTTCCTGTTTACAGTCATTTACGTAACAATGTGTACGGGATATGACAAAAGGTTAGATATACCGTTTCGGTTCTACAGGGGCTTCGGTGCACGACTGCAACCGATGCAAAAAGTAAGTTGAGTCTTGCTCTGATGCTAATTAATGCTTATTGCTGATCGTCGCCGTCACTGGCTAATAGCTGAACATAACATTAACCTTAATGGCCTCAGTGAAACGTGTGCTGTGTGTTTGACATGTTCAGGTCGTGACAGGACAGACAAACTTCTCTGTTCACGACTGCGATTCCGCTGGGTCCTTTTGTAGTTCAACAAGATTAACAGAGTGGTGAAGATCAAGCAGCAGTTTTAGCAGCCCTCGCTGCTGCAGAGCGGCATAAGCTCCGCCCGCCTGAGCTGCTTCGCTTTGCTCTGTTCTCTAGTATATTTATTAATTCTGAACTTATCGCGTGTCCAACTTGGTCCAAACGTGGCCCTGCACTCCCTTGGACCCACAGCAACACACCCTCCACGTGTGAAATAGATTGGAAGGAGCGACTCTCGACATAATCAATTACAAACACACAGACAGACAGAGATTCCTGCCTTTATTAGAGAGATGTTCTGTTTCATTTAATATTTTCTTTCTCTTTTTGTGGTTCTTTTATAACGCCTCAATGCCTTTCTGTCTTATGTAAAACCCTTTGCTCGATCTTGTTGAAAGGTGCAATATATGCTTACCAAGATGGCGCCGCAGGCTGCTTTTTGTGTTTTTGTTTATAAACTCTGTTGTCCCTCTCTGGTAATATTTACCAGAGAAGAGCTCTTAAACATTGGACCTTCAACGGCTCACAGTATTCCACCACTCTTTATTGAAACTGGAACTTTACCGGAGTTATTAGTTGGAGGAGGATCCGCTCTGTATGGGATCAACCGGAGATGCCGAAGGGGGAAGCGTGCCGGCGTGCTGGTTAAACTGAGACAGCAGGGTTTTCACACTGCGCTCCCATTGATTCACCTGCCGAATGTCCGCTCTCTGGTAAACAAAATGTAAGAACTGCTGCTCTTCAACAAACCTAACTAACTCTCTGTAACATACGTTCATGACTGCGATTCCACTGGGTCCTTTTGTAGTTCAACAAGATGAACAGAGCGGTGACTCTTCTCTAGAGAAGGGATCTAACAGCAGTTGTAGGTTTTTAGGAAAATCTCCCAGTTCAACTTTCATTCACATCAGATCAATAACTGAAAGCGATCAGCTTCATAGGCGTGCGTCAGGAGCTCCAGTATATGCTGAACAATAAGGGGTAAACGTTCAGCTATTTAACACTCCGTATCTTCTGCTGCCCGACTCTTTTCCAGGTTGATGCTAAAGGTTGTCAACATTGACCGTCACTAAACGACACACGGGGATTTCAGAGCTCAACTGAATCCTTCAGTTTTAGGCATTTTTATCTTTTAATTACAAATGTTGAAACCTAATTTGATTAAATAAAAAGTCCATGAGTGAATTAAACACTGGTCAGGATTCCCTAAGATGCAATCCAACTTCAACTCACACTATGTAAACCAGCCCCTTTTACGCCACATGTTTAAAAAGAGCAGATATTCTCATTTTTAAAAATAACTTTTCCACATTAAACCATCCGCTGAAATCCTGGAATTTACCAGCCACAGTAATTAAACTCCAGCCGCAGTGACGGCGTCCCCCTCGCCTCGAAAACGCCGCCCAGCAGCTGAAATGTCCGAGGCTGAAGCAGCCGTTCTCATCAGGCTGTCGGGGGTTGAGAAAAAAAAAAAAAAAAAAAAAGTTGCCTTCCTGCTTTTGTACGTTTGTGCAGCAGAAATCCTCCCGCTTGTTATTCCAACCTTTCCTCCAATTTCCAGAAGTCCACGTTCACCTCCAGCTCAGATCTAACAGGACACCCCGAGATCCAAAACGCCGACCTGTCCGTCAACCGTGTGTGTGTGTGTGTGTTAGTGTGTTTGTGCAAGAGAAAGAAAGATATAGAATGAAAGTCTGCAGCGTGGGCAAAAGTGTCGGCTGTGGTGTGTGCTGTGACCACACCCTTGGTTCTGTCCAGCTGGGTCATTAACAATAGAGGGATATCCGTGTTTTCACAACCAGCAGAGAGAGACAGAGCGAGAGACAGAGCGAGGGAGAGTGATATCTCACTGCACCAGTGTTATTAGAGTGCAGCAATAACAGAAACAGACAGAGGAAAACAGTTAAAAGACAAGAGGAGAGAGGAGGTGAAGGAGGGAGGACACAGGAAAGAGGAAGCGGAGAGGGAGAGAGGTGTTAAGGATGGACAGGAACGACTACAACATCATTTCCTGTCCTGAAACTGCCTCTTTTAGGTTAGTTCCCCCCCCATCACATACACGTGCTTCTACACCTGTGAGTTCCCAGAAGACAAACAAGCAGGGACAGTGCTTGTAGAAGGGGGCTTGAAAAGAAACAAAAAAAACTAGGGTTGAGCGATTTTGAAGAAAATATCTACTTGTGATTATTGTGGCTGATATTGCAATTGGGATATAATTCGCGCTGCAGCTCCTCTGTTAACAGCACTGCAGCACCACAGAACGAAGCATCAGCTGACCGCAGGGAGCTCAAAGCGAGCTACGGTGAGGAGCCCCTGGTAGCTCAGTGTTCCGGCGAGTTGGTCTTTTGTCATGACAATTACATGACTTACATATTAATAAAAACAGCTCTCATCACTTCTCTTCGGAGACCGAACCCTCCGTTGTTCATGCCCTCTCCAGGCTCACAGCGTGTTTAATGTTACGGTAGCGTTGGAGGCTCCGCTGCTGACAGGCGTGATTGTAGATTTATTTCTGAAACAGTTTGGCAGTTCTAGCGACCGGTGCTCTCATTTCCCCCTAACTTATTACTTCTAAATATTTTCCAACATCGCCAGCAGCAGATAACTCTGCCTGTTGCTAAGTTAGCCACAAAGCTAACGCCATGTTTATCAGTGGAGGGGCCGAACATTAAAGAGCAAGTAAACTGTAGTGCCTCTAGTTACAGTCGGCGTGTCAGAAATGATCAAACACTTGTGAACAAATCTGAGCTGAACAAGTATCTAACATACAGTTGCAGGTCCTGGTTTTAGACAGTCATGTAGTATTAGATTAATTTAAGGGCAGCGTTTCCTCTGAGTCACTGTGTCAGAGCCAGAAGGTTGTTAGGAAATTGTTTGTGCAGCTTTGGATAGAATTACCAGAGTGACGGTGATAAACCACATGTAGAAAGTAGATTATATGGTAAGGTTATAAGGTAATAACTACTGCATGACAAATATTATTATTATTAGCCTATGTAGGAGAGCCCTGTTTATCATTATTATGATAGCAATGACATGAGACATGACATATGGTATCATTATTATTTTTAGTAGTAGTATTGGACATACACTATTTAATGTTCATTAGTAGTAGTACTCTATAATTTATAATAAATCCGATATTACAACTTAGTTTTATACATTTTACTTGTACAAGTAGTAGTAGTAACAATACAAGTTTATTTTTAACACATTATGTCATGGTATCTTGGTATGGTCTCAACATAACCAATGTTTGGGATAATCTTGGTCTAGGTTGGCTATCGTATTTTAAAATCCTCAAATATCGAAATCGGTATCGGACTTAAACATCTCATATCGATCGGGCTCCAGTAAGAATGATCATTTTTTTAAAGCAATGATTAATTTTTACTGAAAAACATTAAAATTAATTCTAGTGTGATTTTTGCAGGGATCTTTATCAAACAAAGATGTTTTCCTACGTCTGTAGAATATGATGTGTAGGCCAGTACGTATTTAATTTAAATCTGCATTTTGACAAACATCACTTTTAACGAGTACTGCGCCTCCTATCGCCATATTCATAAAATAAATTGAAAATTAAAACAGATTTCATACGGTCCCGTCCATGGTCTTGTTGCCCAATATCCGAATGTGAAACTGTAGTGAGCTCCAACAGGAGGCAGTAACTTTAGCAGTAAAGCTATGATGGAGGGGGGGCCGGTGTTCTCTGTAGTTTATGGCATTAGGTTGTAGGTTGTGCAATAACAGGGAAGATGAATATCCTTATCTCGCCTGGTTGGATACGACATCAGAGTTAATTAAAAAGAAGTTGTGAAATACATTTAGTATTTCCCTGCACTACCTTTGGTCTGCAAGTCGACTGGAAGGAGCGACTCTTGACATAATCGAAATACAACAGACAGACGGGGGATTATTTATCCTTTATTAGGGAGATGTTTGGTTTTTGTACTGTTTTAAATCATTTAATATTTTCTTTTTGAGCTTGTCTCGGTGCCTTTCCGTCTCAGGTAAAGCTCTTTGCTATATCTTGTTTTAGAAAGGTGCAATATAAATGAACCTGCCTTAATCTTGTTCCCTGGTTTACCCACAGCAGCTCTTTATGTTTCAGGCTGTTGCAGTCTGTGTAGACACCAGACATTTCCTCTAAAGCAGCTCTCACATTTCTATTTGACTCAACCAACACCCTCCATTCCTGAAAGATGGCTCAGTTTCTGTGATGTAATTGCTTAGAAGAGTTTCTAATCTTTCTTTTTTGGGGCATTTTATAAGTTTCAGGGAGTTGACGGTGTACAGAAGCAAGAACAGAGAGACTTCAACCAGGGAGTTCATGGCTGGCATCTTAAACCCAGAAGCTACCAGGACTAAACGTCTCAGCTGATCAGTGTTTGTTGCTGCTCTCCTATCTTTGAGTATACCTCCTTGACGTGTGCATCATCAAAGTACATCCATCGTCTGATCTTTGTCTGGAAGAAGAAGGTGGAGTAGTGTTTCCCGTAGTAACACACCATGCCGACCAGGTAGAGCTCCGCCTGGCGAGCCTTCTCCTCCGTGACCCTGTAAAACAACTGCAGAGAGGAAGAGGAGAAGAAGAAGAGTTCAGTGCAGCGGCAGACTGCTGATGTTTGTTCTGGCGGCGTCTTACATCGCCCAGGCGCAGGCAGGTTCCCAGGGTGTGTATGACGTCCTCAGCAAGGTCAGAGTGATCCGAGTCCCAAACCAGACCGATGGTGATGATCTCCGGGCTGTTGAGGAGGACCCGAGCCATCCTGAGCTGCTGACCACACTGACTCTGAGGAGGAGGAGGAGCAACATTGATACGAAACACCTGAGAAACTGTAACCGGCGAATGTTTGGTTTGATTAATAACCGTTGATCAGCTACGACGGGGTCTTACGGGACAGCTGCGCAGGTCTCCCATGCTGGCGTTTCTCAGCAGCTCCCCAAACATGCCAGGAGTCGCTTTCTCCCTCGACTCCAACATCTTCACTGCCTGGTTGCTGAGGAAGACGAGGAGGTGTGACCTTCATAGCTCTGGCTAGTGACCCTCATTGATCACACTGGAGTTTAACACAAACTCAGAGCGGTTTGACCTCACAAGTGTTTTTTTTCTCCCCCCTGTGTGTGTGGATGTGACTTACCACAGCGAGGTGGTGGAGATGTAGTGAACCATCTGAATGAACGGCAGAGGGTCTGAGGACGCTCCACAGCTGCTGCACACACACACTGACACACACAAACACACACAGGGTGAACATCACATCTTTTCAACACTTAAAGCAGCAGTTGGTAGCAAAAACAACACGCTGGCCTATGATGCATCATGGCCCAGGACGAAGCGCCCCGGGCTTCAGAGACAACGGGTGCGTTCGAGATGACTGCGGCTGCCTTTCGCCGACTTGATAGTCAAACACGAGTTGCAAGCAACTGCAGGTATAAAAACACGAGGGGTGGGAATCACCAGAGGCCCCACGATACGATATTATCTTGATAATCTTGACAAATATTATTGGGATTTTAAAGAGATTGCAATGTATTCCCTTTTTTACAACTTCAAACTGTGTCCCCGAAGGAAAACTCTTTTTTTAGTCAACTGAAAAAAGCTATTATTGCACCAAAAAAGTATAATTCTCACATAATAAAAGATCAATACTTGATGTATCGATACAGTATTGCCGCTCAAAATATCGCGATACTATGCTGTATCGATATTTTCCCCCACTCCTAAAAAAACCCGATATAACGGCATAAAGTCAGACACATTCTACCTCCCGTAGAGTGCGTGAGCTTACCGCTAATTTAAAACAATCAGCCGGAAAAAAGCAAATGCGGCCGCTTGACTCCGCGACTGCAGGCCGCATCGTGCCTCTTTGCCACTCATCGATACAGAGGAACCTGATTTTTACTGTCTAACGTAGTACTGGCAGGATATAGTGACAGTTTTAACAAACAAAGAGAAATTTTTGTATGCGTTTTTTTAAATCTGTGTACCCACGGTTTAATCCTTTAATCTAAATTAATTAATAGTTTTCAAGGTGACAGATGTTTCTTTGTCATTCGTTCCAGCCGAGAAGACTCAGCTGGTGACTGTGACTCTTCTCGTACCGCTCATGCTCAGACCGCCTGTCCACGTCTCGTCTCACCTGTTCGAAGAGCGTCATGGCAAACTTCTGGTGGGGGATGCAGTGTCTGGCTGTGCAGATATCTTCTTTGGTCTCGTCTGCGATGTGGAAGTGAATCCTCATCAGGATGTTTTCCTGCAGAAACACCGAAGTGAGAGTCAGCAAACTGCGCTGACAACACAAAAACACGAAACCCGTCCTTTAAACACCATGTAACTTACAAAGCACTCTGCTGCGTCGTCCATGATGCCGAGCTGAAACCTCTGCTCGTCCTGGAAGGTTTTGGCGCGCGCTGCGGAGAGCGTCGGACGGTAGAACTTTCTCACTGCTGTACTGAAACTGAGCGAAGATGCTCTGCAGAACGAGAGGATGCAGGCAGGACAGCGAGGTTAGAAACAAGAAGCTGGTCTGGGATCAGCTTTCAGACAGACGGACTGATTCTCACCTTCAGGGCGCAGAAAATGCACGAGTCCTCCATACACTTGTGAGTCGTCAGCTGACGGAAACTACGTCGGAAGATATCGAGATGCCACAGAACCTGAGAGACAGAGGGAGGATATCAGTCAACAAAACTGAGGAAATATGGGAGGAGAAAGGATCAAAACTTCAGATATACAGAACTTTACAACCTTTCCATAAAAACTTAAATATTGTTACTCTAGCCCCTGACCTACCAAAATAAAAAAAGACTTCCAGTCTCTTCCTTTAGCAGTAAATCGCTTCTACCTGCCAAGATCTGATCCCAAAATCTCTGCAGACAAAGAGCAGGAAATAAAGACTGTCCCTTTGAAATAAACCTGATTCGACTGTCCAAAAAACGCCGCCCACCGCTCCGCCAGATGAGCAGTCGACCAAATGCTTTAAAATCCTCAGACTACAAGCAGGACTCAAAGCAGTCTCTGACTCCACTAAAAGGCTCACTATGACGTGCATCAGCACAGCTACCGGCCAATCACCTGTCAGCACGGCCGGCGCCGACCTGAGACCACGGCCGGGCCAATCAGAGCCAAGTTTGGTGACCCGAGGACGAGCAGAGGTGTGTGTAAGAGAGAGAGGAAGTGAATTTGCATGCGTTCGCGTGTCAAACTGCGTCCGTCACGTTCTCCATCTGCTGCAGGAAACCATCTGGGCTCCTGCGTGACGAAGGCGAGTGTGTGTGAGAGAGATGGAGTGTGTTAAAGCGAGAGTGATGTTCAGAGAAAGAGCGCCAGAAGGAGAAAGTGGTTAACGTCTGTCTGTCTGTCTCAGAGAGTCTCTCTGATCTGAAAAACTACTTCTAACAACTATCTGACCTCCTGATGTGACTGAACTTCAGGAGCTGTTGTTCTGACCTCAGATCAGTTTATTCATTTTGAGGTTCTGGGTCGGTCCAGTACAACTGGTCCTGTATCAGTTTCAGGATTATTATGGACCAACACCGATGTGAAGAGATCAAACAAATACACACACACACGTTTGATCCCCTCTCCAGGTGGACAGCAAGTACATTTACTCAAGTATTGTAAATAAGTACAAATTTGAGGTACTTGTATTTTACTTGAGTATTTTCTTCTACTTCTACTCCAACTCAGAGGGAGATGTTGTTCTTTTTACTTCACTACATTTATCCAAGCTTCAGTTACTTTACAAAACACACGGAGTTTTTAAAATATGATGTTTAGTTATAAATTTATACATAATTTATATATAAGTGCAGCTGAAGCTATTAGTTCATTGACAGAAAATTAGTTGGCAACTATTTGCTCATTTAATTATTCATGTAAAAACAGTTTATGCTTCACAAATGTGAAACTTTGCTGCTTTTCCTTTAAATTATTTAAATCATTAAATGTTTGTAAACGCTGAGGGTTTGGACTGTTGGCTGGACAAAATAAAGCACGACGGTGTCACTCTGGGCTCAGCATTTCTCCCATTTTTATAAATCAATCAATCGATTCATGGAGAAAATAATCAGCGCATTAATTATCTACAGCAGAAACATCCTGCTTTTCATTAATGCATGAATAATAATCATCTCGTGATATATTAATAATAATAACAGTCACGGGGGACATTTTACTACAGTGAGTACTTATTTTTAATACTTTAACTTAAGTAAAGAATCTGAAAACTTGGTCCACCACTGCCTCTGTGCTCGTGGGGACATCTCTTTGACATAATGCATTTCCTCGCCCCTTACAATCACAACCACATGCCAAACCCTGACCAGACTGTAACCTGAACCCTAAAACCGAGCCTTAACCCCAACAAGGCGTCTCTACCTGTGGGGACCTCAACAAGGTCTGACATGGGTTAGTGTGCACTCAGGTCAAAGTCCCCAGCGAGGGATAAAAACATGAAACACTCACACACACACACACGCAGAGTGGATTTTAACCAGCTGTGACGGCGGGTGGTGAAGGCAGCCAGAGGTCCTTAACGGGATCAGAAACCATCAGCAAACTCAGGACGAACAGTTCAAATGATTTCTGAGTTGAAGCCGCTGAAATGTTTATTTCAAGCCAGAATATTCAGACTTCGTGTTAGAGGGCTTCGGGAGTCTCTCCTCCTGCGGAGCGGCTGGAATCCAGACACGGAGGAATTTTTTCATCACTTTATTTATGAGGAGGGTTTTAAAAAGAGCCGCGGCGGCCTGGAGGTCAGAGCCAGACAGGCG